ATTTACAGCAAAAAAAGGGGAAGCAAAAGACTTCATACCACTGCTCAGGGGAGCCTAGCAATCAGCCACTACAAACACAAGAAACAAAAGAAGCACAGAAAAGAAGGAGAAGAAAAAACTACAGGCTATCAAATTCTATCCAAGCTTGGACAGCAGCAGTAACCACAGAAATTTCAGGCCGCAGGGAGTGCTTGAACACCGAGTGATTTCTTGATTTCCAGATTTCCCATAGAATATAGGCCGTGAGCTGAATTCTTTTATTTGATGATCTTCCTGCAGGTAGTGCACAGATTTTGTTCCACCAGGACTTGAAACAGTCAGAATCCTTTTTTAGCCCTTCCCAAGAGACCGGGGCCAATTTCCAGATTTTTATAGCTCTCTCACATTGGAAGAAGAGATGTTCTTGGGTTTCCGGAGCTTCACCACAGATTTGGCAGATAGGGTCTACCTCTAAGCCTCTTCTCAAAAGAATGCAACAGACAGGTATGATGTTGTTGACCGCTCTCCATATGAAATGCTTGATCTTTCCCTTGATTTTAAGGTTCCACAGCTTCTTCCTAGTGTTCTTGGTTTCATGTGAGTAGAGCTTGGTTCAGGTAGGTCTAGTTTTCTCCATTTTTCTTCAACCAGTGCAGAGTATATTGATGAGACTGAAAAGTTCCCATCTTTTTCCCCTTTTCAACTGAGTTTGTCTTCTTTGGTAGGGTCTAAATTTTTAATGCTCAGAATAGCTTCTTGCTCCTGCCTGGTGAAGAGATCAGAAATAAGGCTTCTATTCCAGCATCTCCCATTACTTTCCATCAGTTGGTACACATGGGTGATCAATCTGTTCCCTGGGTTTTTTTCCTAGAGGTATGCTGTTAGGAATATTGGGCACCCAGGGGTATTCCCATATAAGAGTCTTCTTCCCATTGTTGATTTTGAATATAACTCCTTTAAGAAAGTCCTTTTTGACCTTAAGCCAGCTACTCCATATCCAGGAGCAGTTATGCTTTTTGGTTGTTGAGAAGAAGCTCCCTCTAGGAAAGTATCTAGCTTTTAAGAGTTTACTGACAAGCAAGTTAGGCTGTGACAGGATCCTCCAAAGTTGTCTGGCGATCATGGCTTTATTGAACAAATGAAGCTCTGTGAACCCTAGCCCTCCTCTCTCCTTGGCCAGGGTTATGTGGTTCCATGCTTTCCAGTGCAGAGGTTTCTTTGTTGTGTCTTTTTGATTCCACCAGAACTCAGCAAAGTTTTGAGCCAACTTTTGGTTGACTCCTTTTGGTAACAAGAAGCAGGTCATAGCAAAAGATGGTAGGGCCCCCAGAACTGATTTGAGCAAAACAGCTCTACCTGCAAAAGAGAGAAATCTGGTTTTCCAATTGAAAATTCTTTTCTTGACAGTGTTTTCCACAAAAGCAAATGTCTCAATCTTGGATTTTCCTATACCCAGGGGTAATCCAAGGTATCTAGCTGAGGTTTGAGTTGAGATGCCAATAAGAATGGAGCTGATAGAATTCTTAACGTGCTGGGGGGTGTTTTTGCTATAAAAAATGCTGGATTTGCTGAGATTCACTTTCTGGCCTGTGATACTTTGGAAGATTTAGAGGATCTCAAGAATGGCTGAGGCTTGATCAGTGGAAGCTTTAGCAAAGAGAAGAGTATCATCTGCAAAGCAAAGATGGGTAAGGGTGGGGCAGCTTTTGCCAAGCTTAATACCCTTAAGAGAGCCTCTCTGAACAGCTGTAGAAATAAGGTGAGAAAAAATTTCTAAAATCAGAATAAAAATATAAGGTGAGAGAGGGTCTCCCTGTCTAATACCCCTGGTGGGAGTCACAAAACCACAAGGATCACCATTTAAATTAAAAGAAAATGAAGAGGAAGAAATGCAAGACATTATCCACATCACAAAGGTACGATGAAATCCAAGATTAAGCAAAAGCAAGCTCACACTATTCCATTCAACTCTATCGAAGGCTTTAGACATGTCTAGCTTGATGGCCATGGCATAATTAGTACCTTTTCTGAGATTATTAAGATAGTGCAAATATTCATGAGCTATAACTATGTTGTCAGTAATTTGCCTGTGAGGGACAAAAGTAGATTGAAATTCACAAATACAGCAAGAGAGATGGGGCTTAAGCCTATTAGCTATGATTTTGGAGATGGTTTTATAAATGACCCCGCAAAGGCTAATTGGCCTGTACTGATCGATAGAAGAAGGGTTGGCACATTTAGGAATGATAGTAATGAGGGTGTGGTTAACGCTTTTAAGGATTTTACCAGTTTGAAAGAAACTAAGCACAGAAGAGCAAACATCCTCTTGAACAATGGGCCAGAATTTATGGAAAAACAAGGAGGTCATACCATCATTACCTGGGGCTTTGCTGGGGTGAATACTGTGTAGGGCCTCTTTGATTTCCTCCCTAGCTACTTCAACCACTAGTTCTTGGTTCATTTCTGCTGTTATGACTGGAGTAATTCCTTGAAGATGCTGGTGAATGGCTCCTGTTCCTTCTGTAGTAAACAGATGGTGAAAATGATCTTCTATGCAATGGGCAAGAGCATCTCTACTTTCACAGATAGTGCCATCCTCTCTGCATAGCCTGGTGATGAGATTCTTCTTTCTTCTTTGGAGAGTGTGGGCATGAAAGAAGTTTGTATTTTTGTCTCCTTGTTTCAACCAGGCTATTCGAGCCTTTTGGGCCCAGTACTTCTCTTCAAGGCAGTGAGCTGTGTGGAGTTCTTTGTTGATGGCATCCTATTTATTCCAGTCCCTAAGGCCCCCAGAGTTTCTTAAAGATGCTAGCTGTCGGTTCAGTTGCTCAATTTTGATTGCATTTTCAGATTTAAACTTGCTGCTCCATTTGAGAAGCTCAATTCTGGTATCTTTAATTTTGGACTGCAGCTTGAACATAGGTGTGCCCTCATAAGTGGAGTTCCAAGCTTTGGATACTACCTCTTTAATGCCCTGCTTGTCGAGCCACCTCTTATCGAAGAAAAAAGCTTTTTTCTGTGAGTATATGATGGTTTAGCAGTGAGAAGAATGAGCCCATGGTCAGAGGAACTGCAGACAATGTGTTGGGCATGAGCATTTGGGTAACAAGAAGCCCAATCAAGAGACACAAAGAACCGGTCCAATTTTTCTTCAACATATCCTTCTATTTCTCTGTTATTTCCCCATGTGAATGGGTGCCCCAGCATTTGAATATCAAGAACTGCCAAATTGTTGATGAAGTCTTTGAAGGGCTGGAATGATGAATTGCTTCTGGCTCTTCCTCTTTTTTTTTTCTTCAGGACATAGGATGTCATTCCAGTCTCCCCCAAGGAAGTAATGTTTGCCCCAACTGGTCTTTTGAGAGCAGAGAAAAGCCCATTGCTCTTTCCTTTTAGCCATCTCTGTGCTAGCATATATAAAGATACCCCAACAGACTTTGGAAATGTCCTCGTCCCAGAATTCTACCTCCATACAGAAGTGGTGTTTCCTAATTTGAAAGACATGGATATTAGCATCCCAACATAAGAGTAGACCACCACTTCTCCCCTCTGGTTCCACTGATGTCCAATTATCCCTAAGCCCAAGATTTTTGCAAACAGTAGAAATAAATCTATCTTTTTTTTTTTTTTCTGAAATAAAGCAAAACTTTGGGTGATGGAGCCTCCATATCTCCTTGATTTGGGAAACCGTAGAGGGGCCACCTGCACCTCTACAGTTCCACACCGCAACATTCATTGGTCACTCGGGGGCCATTTTTGGCTGGCCACCTTCACCACTGTTTTTTCTGTCTTTTGCTTCTTACCAACTGTGTCTTTATGAGAAGGAGATTGGTCTGGATTAAATGCTGGCTCCTGAATTAAGAGAAGTTGTCTTTTCTTACTGGTATCTTTCTTGGATGAGTCTGTTGAGTCCATTTTGGCTACTGAATATGCCTTTCTTTTCCAGGTTTTGGGCTTAGAGGTGGGTTTTGGGTTTGGGCCAAGAGATTGGGAAGATGGTTGGGCTACAATTAAGAGTGGGGTTGGTATATGGGGGTGATTAACTTTGGAAGTGGATGCTGGGTTGGAGATTATCTCTGGAATATGGGTTTGGATGTCCACTTCGATGAGGCATATGTCAGGGGATATGGGTTTGCTGAGAGGGGGATCACAAATAATAGGGGTGTGTTGGTTAGAACTTATTGGCAGAGTGGTTGTGAAAGGCTGAGGAATTGTGACTGGGTTAATAACCGTGGTGGGTTTTTGGTTGGGCAGAACAGAAGAGTTTATATGACTTTGGTTACTAGGTTGCAAGGGGGTTGAGTTTGGGATGGAATTGGTATTAGAGGGGGATTGCATACTCGATTGGGCATAGAAGGTTTCAGTAGCCTTCATCCAGTCTCCATATAAGCCTTCAGAGAGCTTACCTTCTGCTATGTCGGTAGTCCGCTTGCTGCAGCTTTTATCGAGGTGACCCAGGCAGCCACAGTAGTAGCAAAGGCTTACCAATCTCTCATATTTAAACTGGACTTTGATCTTCTTGTTTTCCAGTTGGGTATTAGTACATCTGAGTAGAGGCTTGTTGATATCCATCTTCACTAGAAGTCTAATGCATTTCCCGGCTAGCGTGCCTCCTTGTGGGACCGAAACATCTTTGATAGCTTTAAAGATACTCCCCAGTTTGAGTCCAACATCCGCTGAGAGCCAATGAAGAGGAATGTTCCACGCCTGAACCCACATTTCAATTTCTTGAAAACCTTGGTGCTCTTCAAATATATCTTCAGACCAATCCTGAAGAATTAGGAATTGGTTTTCAGAGGTCCAATTGTGTCCTTTGCTGACTTTAATTTTGTCCATTTTGTCGGAGAATATGAACTGGAAAAAGTTCTGGCTTAGCTCTCGGACTTGAACTGAAGATCGAATTTGCCACATTTGATTCAGAGCTCGACGAAGGCCTGCTATATTAGCTTTTTTTTGCCCTAGAATTTTCCCAAATAGACTCCTATTACAGTCATCCAAGCTTCTTAGGACGTCGCCTGAGGCTAGAGGTATTGTCGCTGCCTCCTGGTCGTGAAGGCCAATCGATTCCAACTTGTCCAGAATATCGCCTTCCATTGGTAACTAGTGGCTAAGCGCTGAGGGGAGATCAAGAAGAACCTACAGAGGAACACAGAACAACAACACAAGGCAACTACCCAGCAGTACACGAGGGGACGAAAGAGAGATAAGAGAAATAGGGTTAACAAAGAAAAGAAACAGAAAATAGAGCTTGCAATGCAATGATCTTGGATTAACCGACCAAATAGGTGCGAATAATACCTGCAATAAGCGGAATTAATGTCCCAACGAGGAAACCCTAGCTCCCATTGAGGAAGAATTTCAAAGAGCCTTGCATCAATTTGCCGCTACTGCTAGTTAGTAGGGGTTATTTGAGGAAAACTTTTGTAAATTCAAATTTGTCGCGTTGCAACGCGCGATTAATTCATATTTTGCAGAGATCGACAGGTAGGTCTTTCGAGGGATTGACAATCAAGGATCAGCAGAAAACATGACATATTAGATGGGTCAAATCACTTCTTGGACTAGGGTTTTTCTTTATGTTAGGTGAACTTTGACTTTCAGATCGTGCATACAACACATTCGTTAATATAATTTACGCTATATATCAATATTATTCCATACATTGCATGGGATATGTCCTAGTTCTAGCATATATAGAAAGTAATTTTCATGGATATCATATTAGACAATTTTATGTGACATGTATAAACAATACGGAAGAATCCAAGAGGCTAGTGAACAATTTGGAACACTAATGTCATAT